AAGTCGAATTGGCTTTCGTTTTACTCCTCTTAAATCAGGTTCTGACCTGTAAATAGCACGTCGTTATTTTTGAATCAACATGTATATACGGTGTTATTGTTATATTTATCTATTTATAGCTTGTACATGGCTAATCGTTTTAACTGGTGAGCAATGGTTAGATGCCTTTGTCCACTTTTTAGCCCTTTTCAGACATATGTGCGTTCGATCTTTTCTTTAGTTCCCTTAGCGTATGGTGGCATTGCTGCTGCTCATGTGGGCTTCAAACTGGCTTCAGATCTTCTTATTTGTAGGCTCACTTTGACGCACTTTTCCACATACTCCAGCAAATAAGCTCAAAGCGAGGTGGAAATGGACGATTAAGTTTGAAGTTGCTAGCCTCAGTTGGCCCAAGCCTACTTATGCAGGTTGTGCTCTTCACCTTTGTGCTTTTATCTCAACATTTTTATATCATTGGGTGCTTTACTTTTTTCATTGTGCATTTGCATTAAGTTACGCAAAATTATTCTTGACGTTCACCGACAGTATAAATGGGATATTAGGGTAGTGGACGCACATATCTTAAGTGATATTTGAAGGGGAGGTTTGTTTTTTTATTCCTAAATATTAACTATTAAACCTTACAGCATTGCAGGAAAGCTAGCATATGAATGTGGTTTCAGCGAACGTTTCACACACCCTAGTGGCATCATTAAAAAAGTCATTTTTCTACCATTTAAGCTTGATACACGAAGCACGAATGAAGATGTGTGAATGTTGATCCACTTGGAGTCCCAGCCACAATTGCTACTGCTGTTGTAGCTGACTTTGCAACGCCAAAGGATGTTGTTGCGGACACTCTTAGTGAGTTTTCCTGACTTTGCAGTGATCCCCGTCATCACATTGCTTCCTTTTCTATCAGAGTACGTTGTTCTGTCATTTAAACATTCATACCGCAGTGATATTTTTTGCGCTAAATTTCCACGCTCTCAAATGGTTTCGTTAAGTCACTGATTTTCTTATTCCTACATTTTGCTTAGATTGTAATCGTCCATCTAAGTAAGCAGTGATGCGTATCTAACCCTCTTTGCCTCAGGTATGTCTGTTTTGAGGAAAGGAAATTTGGAAATACTTGGACTCGATTAGAAATTTTTTATTTCTCCAACTTGTTAATAAACCTGGGTTCATTTATCGACAAGTTTCCTCGCTCCCTTATTTGTTGAAAGAATGTGAGATTCGTGTGAGTTGGATCTATCTCTTCAATTATTTCCTAACGCATTCACTGTCATGTTTTCAGCCAGGTGTCGACGACTAGTACTCTAGGTGTTTTACAGTCCTGATTCGATTTTTTACCAGCTTAATCCTTGCTGAAGAGACCTAAAGTGTTGTTCCCCCCGGTACATAGTCAAGCTACACCGCCTTTTACTGATTTTGGATTTGCTTGTTTTTGGGTGCAACAACTTGGCGTGTTCATTCGTCATATTCAAATTTAGGACCCATGTCACATATGTGACACTGGGAGTAGGAAGTCAAGCGTACAACCTTTTAATGATATGTGTTCGTCGTTCTGTTTTGTTAGTTCATAAAATTCATGAATCACGTTAAATTTATCCACAAATGTTCAGTTCATCCCACCCAGAGGGGTGGTTTGTATCTGACCAGTTAGCCAATTTCCATACCGTTCTGTGCAGGACCGATGATTAGGTTATTTCTCGAACAGCATAAGTTATGTAAATGCTGCAGCAACACTGAGTTGATACATAGATTGCTTTCCCAGCCTCATTTGGGAGCGAAATCTGATCGTTTTCAGTGTGTTTGACTGCAGAAATTTGTTTGCACTATTTATGCAAAATGCTGCATTGAAACACTGTCAAACTCGACTTCGTATGCTCTCAATCCTGGGCAAAGAAATGTAGACTTAGCACGAAATCAAAAGGGGACGTTAGCACCTTTCTTCAACCCTTCACCTCGAAAACAATTAATTTTTGTGCCTCACACATGGATGGCGTGTGTCATTTTGGTTTCGGATAGCTGGTAGCACCTAGTTTAGTGCTTAGCATAGATGCAAGATGTTTCTGGTCGGCAGTGTAAGGGTTGTGGTGGACCATTGTCCTCTTTGATTTTGATAATTCACGTGTTTGCTCCATGTGTGATGAAACTCCTGGAGGTTTTGATGCACCTCGAAGTCGTTTCTTATCAGTCGGTAAAATGTGAGTGCTAGTAACTCCTTTCTTACAAAATTTCCAAAATGTCAACATTACTTCTGTATCCTTGCCAAAGCTTGTTGGATAGGCTCTTGGTTGTATGGATAAAAGCACCGAAAGTGTTGAGTTTCGTTTTCTTCATTCTCAAAGTCGGTGCCAATTATTCCTGCCCTACCTAAACGCTGTTGTGTTAGCTGCGTAATTTGACCTGATTACCTTGTGGTAGCTGACTCCATCATAAGGATTTGTGTTGATTACGGTGAATGTTAACTCCACCTACTCATTTGCTTTTGGGGATTCTGGCCTGGGTGAATATCGGTTAGTAAGATGAATGATAACTGTCGCCT